GTGAAAACACCGTCGCAGAGGCTAGACTCGAAACATTTGTTGCTCAATTCCAACTTTCTGCCTTGTGCTTAAGCACAAATTAGAATGATGCGAAGAACTCATCCTATGACTCATGTTTGCCCTTCGGCTTGCTCTAATTGTTCAAGAATCTCAGTGCTCTATTATATATGAATGTTCTATTATCTGCAAATAGAGTGAACTTGCTTGTCAGTAAGTAGTGACTCCAATGTTGCAGGGCTCTCATAATAGTATAAAACTCCTTGTTGTAGGTCATACATTCTCCTGGACTCATTCAACTTCTCATTGAAGAAGGATATAAGGTGTCCTCCTTGGCTCAACTTTGCTCTAATCCCACATTAGATGCGTCAACCTCCACCTCGAATAACTCACTAGGATTTGACAAGGCTAATATTGGGGTTTGCGTTACCTTTTCTTTCAGGGCATTAAAATTGGACTGGGGTGCCTATGTCCACCGAAACTTCTCTCCCTTTAGAAGCTCTGTTAGGGGAGTTGTAATGATGTCAAAGCTCTTGACGAAAATTGCCTTAGCTCTATAAAGGACCGCGGGGTTGTCCAATTCACGATCGCCTCTATCTTCTTAGGGTCCATTTGAATGTCTGCATTGGATATAATATAACCCAAAAAACATATTCGAGCTATCACGAAATGATACTTCTTCAGTTGGGCATATAGTTTCGCCAATCGCAAAACCTCGAAAACCCGCCTCTGATGTTGCAAATGCTCCTCCTTGAAACTGCTGTAGAAAAACATTTCGTCGAATTAAACAACCACTAATTTGCCAATGTAGGTTCAAAACACCTGATTCATTAATCTCATAAAGGTGCTAGGCGCATTGGACAATTTAAATTGCATGACGATCCACTCGTACAACCCATATGTGGTCTTAAACGTGGTCTTCCATTTATATCATGGTCTCATTTTGATTTGATGATATCCACTGCTTAGATCAATTTTCGAAACGACAACGACACCATATAACTGATCCAGTTGTTCGTCTAGGCACGGAATAAGAAACCAGTATTTGATGGTCATCTTATTAATAGCTTGACTATGGATGCATCCTTCAAGAGCCATCCTTCTTAGATACCATCAACGAGGTGACAACCCATGGGCTAGTACTCCCTCTCAACAATCCCCTAGTAATGAGATCCTGTACTTGCTCTATAATTCCTAGGACTCCACTGGCCTCAATATGTATGCAGGCCTGTTTGGCAACACTGATTCAGAGAATAGATCTTTGACATACTGTATGTCCCTAAGCAAGGGTGAGCCCATTGACAGTCTAGCGGTCATGACATCCTGAAAGTTGGATAATAGTGGATGGACCATATCTGGTGGGTTTGCCTTCTCTTCAGTTCCCTCTAAGACAACTAGGGCAAGTGCCATTGGGGTTTCTCGAACTGACTGTAGAAAAGTGGCGTGTGGGACCTCTAGCTTCTCTCTTATAAGTATATCTTCTCCTCCAGAATCCTTGATGGGTGAGAGAACAGTGCGCTTCTCTTCCTTCGTGAACGAGTACATGTTCTTGAAGTTATTGTATTGTGTTTTGCGATTGAACTACCACGACCTACTCAATAGGATGTGATCGGCGTCCATGGGTACCACGTCACACCACTCCTGCTTCTGTAATTGTTCTTCAATGAAATATTCTACTAGGCATTGTTGATCCAATTGTATATCAGTTTTTTCTTCAACCGTATCAGAGAATAGGGCTGGGAGTGTTTCTATGGAGCTAGATCCAGCTTCTTCACCATGAAAGCGGAGACCATGTTCTCACAGCTTCCCCTGTTATGATGAGGCTGCAAATTTTCGCTCTTGCCGTACAATGGGTGCGGAAGATACTATGCCTCAACCATGGGTAATTTCCTTGTGGTTCCATCTGCAGGACTTGTCTTACAAAGAGTATTTTCCGTTCATATCCTTACAGTTGGTATACCTATCCCTAGTCCTCAACATTTACCCTTCATATCACCAACTTTTTCCATGACATCTTGCTCGTTGAAGGACACCACTTGGCTCGTCGGGTAACTTAAGGAAATGCCCATGTCCATGGCATCTAGAGGGTTTCTGGGCTGAGATTGTATCGAGTGTGCTGCTCTTTTTTGGCTTCTTTCCACTTTGATTTGCTTTGTCATTTCTTGCCCAGTCTTTTCTACTGGAGACGTGCTCTTGTTGGGATCTCCAGCTGTCAATGATTGTCTGAATGGAAGTGAATACCTTTGTTGTTTCGGCTGTCTTTCTACTTTCAACTTTAACGTCTGCATGTCCCTTAGTGTCCAATAGGACTGCAATTAAACTACATTACTTATGGCAGGTTTCAGGTCACTCAAATACTTAGCTATGTAGTGCTCCTCTTTATCCTTCAGTTAACATTTTAACTTGAGCTGCATAAATTCTGCCATGTATTCCTCGACTGATAGCTCCTACTGCAGATAGTGGAGTTTCATGATAATATCCTGACACTAGTGTGGGGGTAAACTTCTCCCAATAAGTAATCTTGTCCTGTCCTTCTCTCTGTCTCTCCTTCTTCAGGTTCTCCCACCACAACAGAAGCATTCTTCATCAGCTTGACGGCGACTGGTTTCACTCTTCGTCATCGAGCACGTTTTTGTATTCGAAAATCCGTTCAACCGTATGCATCCACTTGATAAATCATCTGGATTCATCCTTCTATTGATGTCCGGTAGGTCCACCTTAAATTCTAAATCTCTGTGTCCTCCAACAGGTACTTCCTCTCTCAATCTTGTTTGATATTGAATTTTGAAATTTAGTGGTCGATTTTTCTCTCCATTGAAGCCATCCCTACGAAAGGGGTTCAACTATTCTTCTAGTTCTCCTTCCTGGATCTCACTATTACGGTCAGTGACTTTGCCCACGAACCTTTCCTCAATGACCGCTAGCCATTGTAACACCTGACATAGCACCCACTGGATATCTCCCATGGTAATATCCTGCTTCGGTTCTGGTAAGTGCCTTCTCGGAGGCATTGTTAGGATTTTGTAGTGAGTTAGTGATGGGAGGTTTATAAGGTGGGGAAAGAAAATTTTTTTAGGAGGGGAG